AAATTTAATTAAAATAATAAAGGTATAGCTTTTCGCTTTTATCTAAAACCTTTTGAAGACTTCTGTTTTCATTAAAATAATAAATACATACATTTCATTAAAAAAAATATCAAAATTGGAGTCGAATTTTAAGGGACTTGTATTGCCACTAAGGGAAAAAGAATTTTTTATTTTTATTTTTTTTATAAATTCGGAATGATATAAATGTTTTTCCTCATTAAAGCAGTCAAATGTGATGTATAAAAAGTTTTTAAAATAAATACCTTGTCCCAACCATGTTTATTCATTAATGCTTTTCCCCCTGAGTTTAATTTAACCGAGACAACTTTTTTGAGTGAAAGTCATGTTAAAAGCATCATTAAAACGAACGTAGAATTCCGTAACTTTTTTTTCCCAAGACCAGAAATTTCGAATTTGCAGTTTTGTAAAGAATGCGAAGTAATTCTTTTACATGGAACTATTTGGCGCATTTGTTAACAACACGCCTTGTGGCATTTTGAAAGTAATTTGGGCTCCTGCTGTTCGTTTAAAAAAAAATCATGTTTTAGAAAAAAGATTCGAATTGATTGGCCTTTATTTTTTAGTCTTTTAAATTCATTCTAAATAGCTTGGCTGTTTTTTCCCCCCCTCAGTTGATTAAATCTTTCGTTTTTCTAGTTTTTATCTATTTTTTTTTTTTTACTTCTTCTCCATAATATTCTATTCTTTTATGTTTTGAATATATTTTATTCTTACTTAACTTTTCATGGAAGTTCTTTATCAGTAGGTTGTTATAAATGTTCTTTTTACTTTATTGATCTTTCAGTGTAATTTTTCATGGTTTTCTTTTTCTTCACTCTGCGTCCGTTTTATTTTTTACTTTATTTTAGTGGATACATTGATTTCTCTCAAGTCTTTTATTTATCTTGGTATAAAACGTTTTAAAGAAAGATTTGAATATACTTTGCAATATTTTTTGAAGATTCTTTTTCTGTTTGAATTTGCTAAACGTTTAAGGTTCAGCCTCGAAACTTTAAGGATAGTCGGTAGGGCATATACCAATAATGCTATTAACTAACCTTTTTCGATGCACCTTTTCCTAGCAACTAAACAAGATATTACTTCAGTTTTTTTCTTCGTAGAATGTTTACATATACATGTTTACACTGTAATAACTGATAATAAATATTTTTGGTAGATTTTTTTTTTGTTGAAAATTATGAACTGAGAATTTTTAAGTTTTTAAAAAGTTTAATCATTTTTGGACAAAAAATTTTCATTACTCAAAAAGTATACCTGTTAACGCTAAAATATTATCACAGCATACAACTGATATAAACTCAAATATCATCAAAAATTTAGAAATTGATATTATAAGCAGTTTTTTAGAAAAAGTACATCGAAGAAGGTCAGTTATAGCATTATATATATATGCCCTATTCTCTTCTGAGTTCCTACAATGTATAATCTAATATTGTGTTTATGTTAGTAATATCAATTATGATATTTTCCCAAACTGGCATTATTTACAAATAATAACATTGTCAAATATATAACAGTAATAAATGAACATATTTAAAATGTATGGCGATGTTAATTACTATGTTTAATATTATATACTAAGCACACCGGACAAAAAATTAGTCACCCTTAGAGAAATCATGAAAAAGATCATTTAATAACGTGTAACCGCCTGGATTCGGTTAGGAAGTGAGCTCACAAGGTTTTGCAAGTACGTCGAATCCAGTTTAAGCCCCTCGTTGAGGATTTGATGGCGCAAATTCACCAAATTGTGAGAATGCTAATTTTGGCGTTTTACCCGTTCCAATATGTCCCACAAATTTTCAATGAGGTTCAAGTCAGGTGATTTCGCAGGCCAGCCGAGATGTAATGGGGTGTCTGAGTGTTCATAAAACCAGTCACATATACTTCCAGCTCCATGAACTTTGCTGTTGTCACCACTGCGTCATCTAACGAAACCTAAGGATTCATCGGTGCTTGCGCGCTAGGGTGACTAATTTTCTGTCCGGTGAGCTTATTAGAAATATACCATTTCTCTGAATGCAGATTTCGATTCATTTTTATTTATTTCTTAAAATTTGTTTTTTTATCAATCTGCCGCTACTTTGCTCATTTAAACTTATTTTGCAATTTATTTCATATATTATAACTTGGAAAAGCTAAGCCTATCATGTTAAGGTTAAATCAAGTTCTCTGATTTGGACAAGCTTTAGAAATTAATGCCGAGTTTTGAATCAACTATTTAAATCGCCACTTTGACACTAATGTGAATTATTGAGCTACTGATTCGATTTTGGATTCTACTGATCATTTCGTGAAATTTATATAACTTTTATGATTCATTTTGCTGAAAATATTGTATCATCAGTATCTCCTAATTGCCGATTGGATTGCAATTTTATCACGGGTTCAATTTCTGGTTTGGATAGGCTAATGTGATTTAAATCTTGTATTTCAGTCCTTTGCACTCGTTAATTTTGTTTCCTATTCAAAAAAATTCGAATTTTAAATTTAAGTTTTTGAGTATTTTTTTCCAACTACATTTTGATATATATTTCATTATATTTTATTACACTTTTATTTAAATTTCCATATTTTTAATATTCCTTTTATTTGCGAGATGGAGGTTTGCGTTACTTGTTTAAATATTATTTCAATTAGTAGCCAAAAATGTAAATTTATACTCATTCGTTTCAAACAATCTTGCATAATGGGGTCAAAAAAGGAAAGATTTTTTTTCCTCAAGCGACGCGAGCGGTTATGTTTACAATAGAGAATGCAAGTGTCAACAAACACTAGATTTGCAACAACCTTAAGAGCGGGCGTATTATTTATTGCTTATGAGGGGGGGGGGGACGAAGGTATTCTATTATTTCACTTTCTCCTTTTAATGTTTATTAACTTTCGAGAATGTGGGTCAATTACTGTCCCTCTCACACTTGCTATCTTATGAAGTTTAATTATTTCCTGAAAGTATTGTGAGAGCTACTAGGTTAAGGTTCGTTAACCTTCATTTGCTGTCTGTAGCATGTTTATAATTTTTTTTTTTTACTTGAAGTTGGTTTATTAACCCTCTCAGTACCAGTGGTACAAATAGGAAAATATAGGATGATATTTATAATATCACGATTACTTACGAACTAATTTGGATTATATAACATTTGAATAATTTTGATAAGATTTATATTGATCAAGTTAAATTTGTTTGAAAACTTGTTTGAATTTTTAGTATTTCATACGATTAAAATTTACTTATTTATTTTAATTATTATCATGTATTGAATTAATAATAATTAATTAAAAAGACACTTTAATGTACACTTTCGTTTTTTGAATTAATCTGGGTTGTTAGAACACATTCTCTTAATTTAACATTCTATAATAATTAAAAACTATTGATGATTTTATTGTATAACCACCGTTAAACAGCCAACCCAATTTTAAATTTACGACTATCAATGTTCAACTCCATAGGCTCGTAATTTTGAATTTAACCAAGAAGACGAGGGAGCTTCTGAATCAAGCATTGGGACAAACTAGTCTTTGTGGAGGATTTTTTGATGAAGCTAACCGGCATTTGCGTTACATGGAGAGGAAGACCACGAAATCTTCTCACGATTAGCCCGATGGATAGGAAATTCTAACCTATAATCCGTCTAACAAGGAGTATATATTTATGTCAGCAAAATTCTTATCGACGCTCTAACGCTGGCATTCAAACTCAGGTCACCTCATTGGGAGGCGAGTGCTCTATCCCCAGAGCCACCGTGACTTTATTGTATGTTTCGATAATTTTGCAAATATTGTTGAGCATCTATATTCATTCTACCGAATCTTGATTTGAAATAAAATGTTTTCTTACGAGCTGAAAGATGCATTATCAAAAAAATACTAGAACTAAATAAAAGGAAGAAAAATAAAAAAAAGAGAATCTTATTTTATTTCTGCATTAATCTATTCATTACATTTTAAAAACTGAGAAATACTAATTTGAAATTACTTTATTAAGTTTTAATATTCAATTTATTCAATAAATTTTATTTTCCCATTGTTAAAAACTCCTTTTTCTATAATATGACTGAAATAATCATATCTGCCTGCAATATCCATTCTGCAATACCAAAAATAAGTGTCGGAAAACGTTAGTTCCTATTTGAAACAAACTAAACTAAACAAAACAAATCCGCTTAATTGAATATTAATATCATTCCACCAAATCTCAGGCTAGAATAAAAAATTCTTTCCCCATGGGAAAAAATCTCTTGTTAAGATTGTTGGAATAACAATTTCTATTTCAATACAGCTGATTCTGATTCCTTTATTATTTCTGCAATACTATTTATTCATGACATTCTAAAAATTGATAAAAATATGCAAACTGTTAATCCACTTTGTCGAGCATTTATATTCGCATTTGTTATTACCGAATTTCAATCTTGATTAAAAATTCCTTCCTCAGGGAAAAAGGGGGAAGAATTTGTAATATACTGGAAATATTCATATCGGTTTGCAGTGTTCATATGCAATCATAAGTTAAATTAAATTTGAAGTAAATTTAAAAAAAAAAAGAAAAAAAACATGAATTCCAGAAATCCTTAATTTATTTCTACATTGATATTTTCATTGCATTCAAAAACAAATAAATATTTAATACACTTCGTTGAGAATTTACATTCATATTCATCCTACCGAATCTCAATCTCGAATAAAAATTCTTTCCCCAAAACGAGAGAAACAAAAACAAAAAAAACGTTCTTTAGAATAAAAAAAAAAATGCTCAAGTGATTCTACGGAATTTTCCAGCCTCATGCATCGCATCTCCACTACAAAGCGGGCTCGTTGTCTCAATGAGTTTTTGAAAAAAAAAAGAATGAAAAATTCGAACACTGACTATACGAGTAAAGCAATGAGTAAGTGCTGAAAGAATCAAATAAGTGTCCATGACGCAATATTCCAAATCTCCAGAGATTTTGAAGCGATTCTCGCTCTGTTTCCACTTCTTTGGCGTATTATCGACAAGCGGGCAGGCGGAAAATTTGGAATGTTTAAGCCCAGTTATACCTGGAAGGTATTGGTATTTCGGTATCTGCTAGGGCAGGTGTCCTTCAGATCTAATCGCATTTGTCCTCAAGTCACGTCGAAGAAAACTGCTATCTAAAAAGGTTTGCTAACTTCATGTTTATTTAATATGTGATTTGACTTACTTTCGAAAAAGTCAGCCTTTGCGAATGTCATTTTTTCTAATCCTTTACATTAATTACTCCTATATCAGTTACATTTTTATATAACCACTTATGCTCGTTTAAAATAATTATGTAAATCATTGCTGCGCAACCGCGTGTGTTGTTTATTTTTATTTGTAACTTTTATTTTGAGTTATTAGATTTATATTTATTGATTTTTTTTTTTAAATCAGCGAATCTAATGATTAATATCGTCTGAGATATAATTACTTCTACTAATTTTCCAGGAAATGCAAGATTTAAAAGTAGCATTCGATGAAATTTGTGGAAGTATGTTTAATGTTAATAATTAATCAGTATTTGCTTCTGCGTATGTATTAGGTTTCCCTTGGAATTTTTTAGGATATTTATATAACCGATGGCTGTCGGAAAATAGTTAAATATGTTGAGCATGAACATTTGAGATGTTTTAATGTAGGTAAATTTGCCCTATTTCTTTTTCCTTTGACAAGAAATTAAGTATAACACAATTTTTATCATATTCTAAGACAATGTACAGCTTTTTATCGTTTGCTTATATTATTTTGCTGACAGTCACAAATATTATTTTATTAACGTTTGCAAATACTATTTTACCATTGTTCGAAAAATTATATTTTACTTGTTGTTCACAAGTTGTTCTTTTTCTTCTCTTTTTCATTTTGTATTGCATAGAGTGTAAAATTTAACGGCATAGACAATTTGTTTGTTTATTCTTTTGAAACTAAAATAAGAATTTAATCACAATGTACTTAATACTTTTGAGCTTTAATTTAGACTTGGGTAATTTTTTGCCGAACTGGCGATTTTGGTTCGAGGTCGTCATTAATTTGACATTTTCTTTATAAAAATTGTCGATTATTATTATTGTTAGAGATTATTAGAGATTTATTATTGTTGGAGATAATATAAATATATTATAAGGTCAAATATCTTCAATTAGTTTTTAAAATGTATAAATAAATTAAAACATGACTCTGGTTCTTAACTAAAAATCGTAAAAAAATCATTCGAAATGTGCATAAGAATAATTAACATAACATAATTTTGAAAACTTAATCTTGTTTCGTGTTGTTTTCGTAATTGTTTATATTCCCATAAAGTGAAAATACGAACTTCTCTAATCCATGTTTTATGGATCGCTGCCCGTATTATGTATAGCAGTAGTAATGATTGTAATGTAGACCAAGGTAAAAGGTGTTGTTGAAATTGAGATGTGAAGGATTTCATCAGAGGGTAGCATCAATAAATATTTCAACATCTATTGTCTCCGACTATTTAGCAGGTGATATAAAAATTCGTGAAGTTATCTTGCAGTAATGATTGTAGTTGTTGCTAATTTATATACTTAAATCGATCAGGTATTTTTCAAAGTTTCGCTTATTGAAAAGCAGATGTTTTGTTATGCTACATTGCGTCAATTATTGGTGAGCATATTTCTACGTATCCGATTTTCTTATCTACCGTAATTGTAACTGTTAATATGTCAATTAAAAGTAAATGTTATTATCTCTTTAAAAAAAACTTGCATTTACATTTGGTTCATATTTATAATCCATTGGAAATAATAATCATATAGTGCATAGTGCTGATAGTCATATAGTGCATAATTGGCTCTTTGTTAAAACTAGTTACTTAAAAACGTTCGTTTTGATAGTTAATGATCCTAGTATGAGAAATATTAATGAAAAACCTAGGTGTTTCATTCGCTTTAAATTTAAATAATTACACAAAAATAAAATATTCATAATAAAATCTCTACTGTTGTATACTCTAAAGTAAAAATTTCTAGTTTAGTAGAAAGTAATAACTAGCGAGTATAAATATATATTTATTTATTATACAACTGCTCTTCACAATAGTAAAACGATATAATTTAAATAATAAAACGATCAAATTAAAATTCCTTTTTAGGCTTAACTTCTCACTAGATTTTTTTTTATGCAAGGTTTCATTTAAGAAAAAAAGGCATGCATTAAAATTTGTTTAAGTAATCGGCCAAGATGAAGTCAAATATTCAGGATTTAAATTTCAACACATTCACAATTTCGAGCATATGAGACTCCTGATTGGAAAGTCAAATTTGACACATAATACATACCTGAGGATTATTTGAATTATCTTGCTCAAGTTCATTGCTAGAATGATATAGTTTTGAATTCCAGAATTCACCGAGTGTCTAAACTTAACAGATCGATAATCTTATGATGGGGAAAGGAGAGAATTATAAGAATTATTCTTATTATTCAAATCTTAACCTCTTAGAAGGCAAATATATAAAGCCTTATCTATATTTGCCGGTTAAGATTCGTTACCCTACTAATCAAGGAGGCTAAACAATTCTTCCAATTCGAATTATCAAACTATTAAATTTGCGCATTTTTTCTAGGCCTATTTCTTGTTCTATATAATACTTTTTTGTGCTAATTAAAAAAGCACTAAAAAATTTTTCTGTCTAGTTGTAGAGGGAAATATTAACTATTGAAATTTAAGAGCCAGTTTTTTTAAGAATCAGTCATTAAGACAGCAGCTCGAGGGGTGACTCGAGGCTCTATTTCTGTGTTCAATTACTCAGGTATGGGCCTCAAACTTTAGGGCCATATTGTTAAAAAGTTAAATTACTAACTTTAGGTCTGTGAATCGATTTTATTTCTGCTATACTTAAGTACTATAACTTATGCTATACTTAGATACTTATTTAGATATTTAGATACTAACTTATGATATACTTAGTGCTATAATTAGTTTCGAGCAAATTTAATACTTGTCCAGTTTTGGCGAAGGCAAACAAAGTTTCAATTTCTTGCTATTTTAAGGTCACGCCAAATATGCACTACACGTGTTTAGTTTTTTAGGTTCGAGTCATTAGTATCAACTAGCAGAAATTTTATATCTTTGTGGTTTACTGTCAGTACTAGTTGATTTTGACGGTAAATTACCTTTTTTGGAAGATTTTTGAGTGACCTTTGATCTTCGATGCAAAAGTGAAAACATTTGTCTTAATAGTTAGTGTAAACATAGTAGAACATAAATAATAGTCAGAGCCGTGATTCACGCGTTTCGCAATGAGTATTGCCACTTGTAAATCAATGTGTTTTTCACAAAATTCCGGAGGGTTTTCAGTTTTGTCCTCCCCCCGTCCAAAAAAAAAATAATAATAAAAACCGAGAAATTAAAAAAAAAAATGCGTATAGTTGTTTTACATAAAAACATATTCTGTATCCAAACCAGCCTGATTTGTTCGATTTTTTTTTAAAAAAAACTGGCTCTTAGCCCTTTGAAGCAGGATTTTTATTTAACATATTTTAATACTTTTTTTCATTATTTTGTATTAATTTAGGTCAGAACAAGTAAAAAAAGTACTATATTTAGCATTTTAACAATTTGTGGTGAAATACCAGTGTCTTTTTCTGCATTAAAAGTAAAATCTAACATAACAAAGGTAACTCATTCGTGAATTTAAGCATCCAAGGTGTCTCTGATTAAGTTCTGACACCTACACGAGGATAATTCAAAATATCATAATCATTACTAGAACTTTTTTGAGTGACCACAATATTCATAATTTAAATTTGAACACGTTCGTAAATTGAAGTAACTGAAGTGTCTCTGATCCCTAAATCAATTTAGCCATCTCATTCTGAATACCGTTATCAAGATCATTGCTATAATAATATAGTTTCGAATTCCAGAACTCATGCTTTGACCAAATTCCAGAAATGGCGAAACTGATGACAGAGAAAACAAAGAATAATAAGAATTGCTTTTTTTTTTTTTTTAATAATTACCGGCAAAGATAACATATCGGTGCCCGTCAAGGAAGTTGGCAAAATTCTTCTTCCAATTTGATGGGTGCAGTGCTCGCTGTCATACCTTCTATTTTGACCGACTTCCTTAAAAACAAAGGGGAAAGTTTCTTTTTCTATTCCATCACTTTCGATTGATGGAAAGTGGCTTGCCCTATTTGCAAACTCGTGACCCACGGATGAATAAACAGCTGTTGTTGAGAAATCCGAGACTCAAATATCAAAATTTAATATTGGTGTGGCTGTTTTTCATTGCCCTTAGGGTGTAAAAATAGCTTTGATTGGAACGTTTGAAAAAGAAAAACATTCTTCGGTCACTGTTAACTATGTTATTTTATGTGTTTTCGTTTGAGAATTTTGTAGTTGCGCTTTAATATTTTGGTAAATGGTGCTACCAGAGAAGGTTTGTGTCATTTTAAAATTTCACTCCTTTTTTTTTTGGCAGCAAATTTCTTTCGGAAAAGTCGTGGATTAATCTTGCTTGAAATAATTCTATAAGTTGGAAGAATTCTATATGTAAGAAATTTGAATTGTTTAATGTTTTTGTATACTTCATGCTTCATGATAATTTAGTCACTTAATTCGCCATTTTGTTGATATATCAAATTTCGAACAATAATGAAAACTTAATTCGTGAAATTTAAATTTATAAGTATTGATAAATGGTTTTACTACAGCATTGCAATTTCATTATTAATAATTTCTTTCGATTTTTTTTAATGATAAATTGAAATCGAAAAGAAATGTTTATATGGTTAGCATTTTCTATTGAAAGTTTTTAAGGGGAAAAAAAACTTTATTTCAACAAAAATTTTTATATATGTAATATTTTCGTTTAAAAAATCTACTCTTGATTTAAAAGAGGAACACTTTTTTTTAGAAATGCGTTTAGTGTCCTTTGAAGAATTAATTATTTATTGCCACAAATTGTTGAGCAATATTTCCTTAAAAGCAAAAAATCTGTTTTTGTTTATAACTTAGTTTCAATATAACCCATAATGTACACAGAGTTGTGCTTCTTTTTTTTCATAGCAGCAGTTATAATAATTCTGTGGGGAAAAAAAACTTATTTAAAATCTTTTTATTTTGAGAATAGAAGTTTAATATTTCTTTATGAAAAATAATGCAGAGCCTCACATGCGAAAAGAATAATATTTTAAAAGTATACAGGCAACGAAATATATTACCCATATAATTTTAAATTACAAGCTTTGTTTATCGTCTTCTCTTTCGTAGAGAAAACAATAATAAATAAAAAAGAAATACATTAAAAGTTCCGCATTACTTGATGCGAGTAGAAAAACATTTTTGAGGTAAACAATAGGAAACGATTTGTTTCGAAACAAAGATTACCTTAAAATAATAAATAAATAAAAGGTTCGAGCATCCGTTTTGTAATGAAACCCATTATTTCTTCTAAGGATCGGAATATGAATAAAATATTTCATTTCCTCAACTTGCATTTTTTAAATAATGATATTCTCTAATTCCTTTTTGAATGCTTTCTTTTTGTGCTTCTTATCGATTCATACAAAAACGAAAAGGTTCTTGATTTGATTTGGGAACTAGTGAAGAAAAAAAAATGAAATATTTAATTGTTTTATTAATTTTTTAAACTTAAAAAATAGAAGTAATATTGTGAAAGACCGATATTAATGAATGTCGACATTTACATAGCTACTTTGGTTAAAATCCGAAATATATGTTAAGTTTTATTATTTCTCAATTACGCCTCGATATTTTACAAAGACGAGAATATTCTTGATTTTGGAACTGTGAAAAGAAACGATTAATACGCATTATTTATTTTAGTTTTCTTTCTACTTTAAGTTAAAATAACATAATCGATATTGCGAATCGCCGATATTAGTGAATGTAGACATTTACATAGCTGTTTTATCTGTTCGAAATGTATGTTAAGTTTTATTTCTTAATTACGCCTAGATATTTTACAAGAGGGAGGAGGCTCTGGATTTGATTTTTTAACCATTAAAAGATGAATAATGTACATGATTGGTTATAATTTTCTTTTCTTAAAAATAACAATAATAATAATAGGATTGGTACTGGGAAAAAGCAGACATTAATGAATTTCGGCATTAGCATAACTGTTTTGATGAATGTTCGAAATATTTATTATTCATTATTTCTCAATTACACCGACTAATATCGACATTCATCATGAATGTGGTCGGTGGTGTAATTGAGCGCATTTATGCACAGAAAACGGATATTTTTAGTCTTAAAATATTATTTTTGAATAAAAGAAAGCATCAAGATCATGAACTTTATTCCTTTAGTTTTAGAAACTTAATACTTTTTAGTCCACAATTTTTTCTACAGCGATACTGTATATAAGTTGTTCAGTATTTAAAAGCTAAATTTTAGCAGTTTTTTTTTTTTAATGGAAAATATTAATGTAATTACTTTTTATACTTAAACGTTTGGGAATAAAAGAAGCTTTAAATAATGTCTTAAGTAGAAAAAACCCACAAATTTAATATGTCGCCAATTTGTCGTAATATGTCGTCAAGGATATTTGTCATGACTTTAATCATAATATGTTTTAAGATTTAAAACTGTTCCGTTTATTCAAAGATATTAAGTACAATATCATTTTTTTTTTTATTATATTTTTTAACCACCCTTCTCTTGAGAATTGAGAAATAGCGCGCTGTTTACAAGTAATGGTTGTATGAAGTTCTGCATCAGATGCTATCTGGCATTGCCTTTTGTTACTTGTTATGGGCTGCTTATGTAGAATAAGAGCTTTTTTTCAGTAAAAAAGAAGCCCTTCTCGGTAACGAGTTTTTCACTCCTTTTATGTCATTACTATTTACCTGCGTGTGTGCTTAGGATATTTGTCATGGCGTTATTCACATGCTTTGTTCTTTTTTACAGGTTTCCCGTTTCCGTGGTTGAACAGGAAGCATAATGCGCCTAAAAAGTACGCAGTTAATCCCAATCATGTTGACACAGAGGATGCCAGTTCCAGTCTAATGCGTTCTGCGGTCTCACAACTGTCTCTCAGTGATTATTCACCACAGTGGCCCAAGAATCTCAAAACTTTTCGCAAAACCCCACCTGTGCCCCCCACCCATTTGCACCCACAGATCCACTACTACGAAGAGATCCCATACAAAGACGTATTTCCAAGTTGCGAGTCGCTGAATAACAACAACTATCTCAATAACAACAATGTTATTCCTAGCGATTCCAACAGTGTGATGTACCGTAGTGTGTCCACTTCGGCTCTTTTTGACGATCCTAAGGAGATCTTCAGAAGTGTGGAGATTGACGTAACGACCAACTATAACAATAACAATGAGAACGGGACTACTTTCGTGGCGGCGCCCCCCTTAGAGTGCTATCTAAAAGGAACTTCGAGCTGCGAGGATCTCATCGATCCGTGCGAGGGCGCACCAGAGGGCGATAGCTGCGGCCAGAAAACCGCAGTTTCGCAGGAGCTAGGGACCGTGCTGGAGGAAGAGGTTTTTCTTGAGAGGGGAGTGTCGGTAGATTTTGACCGGCACCCTTCCAATGCCAATGGTGACACTGAAAGTTTGGCCAGCTCTATACAACATAGATCGGATGAGTCCGGTTATGAGAGCGATGGCACAAAAAACGGCAATGACGAAAATGCCATTGCCATTCAGGACGATTCTTCGCCGAAGGAATTGGTGAATCACATTAAATCCCCCGATTCCAATGTTCAAAAATTTACTGCCCTTTTCCAAAGACTGACGAGCAGTTCAAATTTTGCGGACTCGAATAAGAAAGATGAACCAAACAGTTTTGGTAGTAAATCAAATTCTAAATCGTACGAAGCGCGAAGTCTTAGATTGCGCACACCAGCCATGCTTTCTAATTTCGTCCAAAGACATGCCGGCAAAGAACACATTTCGTCGTCCTCCTCCACGGCGGCGCCGACGTCAAAAACGACGAAAGTGTCATCTTCAGCTAAGTCCTCCCCTACAGAGGAGTCTAAAAAAGAAGTTCGAAACGGAGCTTCTAAGTTAGGTCAGTTCAAAGCATGGACACTGGACAGAAAACTGTTACGAAGTAGGTGGAAGAAATCACTTCCAGAAGACAAATTAGACATTTCCATGCCCTCGCGTAGAAGTAGCATTTTTCAATCATCATTATTTCCAAATTCCACCGAAGATTCACCAATTACGCCTCATCTTGAAACAAAATCATTGCCATCCTTGTCATCTGTTAGTAGTTGTAGTAGTACAGAACTCTTGTGCGAATCGCCCATAAACAGTGACTGTTCCGTGTCTAGTTGTGGTGGTTTGAACTATCAACTCAGGTTAAAAAAAGCAGCGTACAAAAGTGCGTCTTCTTCCAACAATGCTAGAAGACGTTTGTGGTTACAGTCACAACTGTCAACTTCTGACAGTGAAGACGTTCTTTCTCCAGAACCTGTAAGTGCAAATAAAAGTTTTGTTACATCGCCGACGAATGGCAGTAAGGAACCGTATCGTAGACTACCTTCCCAATTGGACTTACATGAACTAGTATCAGTTGATCTCAAAAAAGATGAACATGGTGAACTAGGTATTTATATTACTGGATGTACTGATTCTGAAAAGAATGTGATGGGTTATATTATTATGGACTTAGAGAAAGGTGGACCAGCCGAAAAGTACGTAATTATTATTTTATTGAATAATTTTAGTTAATAATGAGTTAATTTTCATAGAATTTAATTTTATTTGATGAGAAGACATTTTGAAAAATTTTAGTTAATAGTTTGAATGGAATTATTTGAAAAACTCAGTGAATGAGGAAGTTTAATTGTTAAATAAAATAGTTCATATTTCATTTATTTTCATAGAGTTTAATTATGTTTGAAGACCTCAGAAAAAAAGGTATAATTTTTAAAAAATATTCCTTTATATCTTATTAATTTATAGAATTTTATTAATCTCAATGATAAAAGATGTTAAGGGTTATTTAAAAATCAGCTTCAAAATATATTGAATCGTCAAAGGGCTGCTTGATAAATATCTGTCAAATAAAAACTAGTTTAATAAAAGACTTGAGGAGAGTAAATTAGTGTTCTGTAGTTATTATCAACTATAAAAAAATTTTAAACTAAGAAATTTGTTTTCAAAATGTATTTGTTCAATTATTATTCTCTCGACTAAGCACTTCAACTACTATTCTTTTTGAAATTATATACTACTAGCTTTGTGCTGAAATATTTTGAGTATTTGTGGGAAAACAAGTCGCTTTTTATTTAATTATTTAAGTCATTAACGAAATAGAGGCATATGATAATACATGCTTTAAAAAGGGTACCATTTAGTTAAATTCCTAAAATAAAAATCTAATATTAATTTAATGACACAAAAAAAAATTACGTTGCGAAAAATTATTTTATCGAACGTCATAAGCGTTTGTGAATATGTATTTCACCCATACACGCGTTTTTTCGTTTCAGCTTAAATAGCGATTTGCATACTACTTTATTGTACAAAATAAATAACTAAGAAGAGAAATTTTTTTTTATTAAATTACTTATTTTTTTAATTTTAAAACATTGTCTTTTGCTCCTAAATTTGATTTAATATTTTTAAAGTTTCTAGAACAATTTAATAAAAGAAAATAAATTTTTTTTGTTTAAATTTTTTTGTCAAAATTTTTGAAATTTTTTTATTTTAAATAATTCACGCACAGAAATTTTATTAATCTAAAGCGGTAAATAAAAAATATAAGAGTAATGCATAAAAATTCTTTGAATAATTAAATAGATTTTCTAGCATAGGTGCGTGGGTGAAATGGCAAGATAAGGATATGAATTAAACGTGCCTTGCTTTTAAATTATTTAAATTTATATTCATCTTTATCGAAGCACATATTTCTTAAAGTATGGTTCATTATTTAAACTTATTTTACACGCCCGTTTAAAATAAAGGAGTAATTATTACAGTAATTTCATACTTCCGTTTCTTTTGTGTCATATTGGCGTTTAAAAGCAATATGGAGGGAGTTGTTGTTGCAGTTATTTTTTTATAAAACATAAGCAATATGCCTTATTGAAATGGTTTATAAATGTAATGAAATAGAAGTGAATGTGCGTTGCATATTAAATTAAATTTCAAGGTAATTTCTTAATGTCGAGAAACTTGTTTAGGATGCTGCCCACAAATGGTATCACTCTCTTTTTCTTTATTTTTGACCCTTCCTCTCCCTTTGTCGCCAAATGTCACACTACACCCGTGTCACTTGTCACGCGCTATATTATATAAACATATATTTGCAGTTCAGAGATTAAGAGCTACGTTATAGATCTTTTATCAAATTTTATTTTTAGTTATTTGTTTAATGACTTTTGTAAGCACAACAATAATAAAAATTATTATTTGTGTATTTCTTATCTTTTTAAGAGAAACTGTTGATAGAAAAGGTAAAAAAAATAAATATAATATAAAAAATATTTAATTTGGTGCATTTAAATGTTTTAATTATAACAAAAATATGTGTTGTCACACTTCTTACTCCTCCTCCTTTCCCTTGTCACAACTTCACCCCCCCCCCTCGAAGCGTGGCATTATTTGTGAACAATCTCTTACTATTTAATTCAAATTAATTTATGCTAAGAATTTTAATCTATATATTTGTTTCTCTTATATGGCACTTAAAATGCAGGTATATCTCAATCTAAATTGGCAACACTATAGTCATCTATAACCTTTTTGTTAGGTTGTCTTAAGTAATAATTCAGTGTTGAATAACTAGTTATACGTTAAGTATTTGTTTAAATTTATTGTGTTAGATTGTTTTAAGTAATAATTTAAATGTAACGTTTAAATGTTTAAAAGTAAATTTAAATGTTGTACGTTAGGTATTTCTTTAGATCATTTTGTATTTTTATGTAAACAATGACTTAGTTGCGATGTAATTATTGAGATTCATTTTTGATCTTTTCTAATCTGGCTGTAGAAATTTTAAACATAAACTGTGCTACGGTGTCAATATCAGTTATTGGTTGATGAGGGAGTTTGCTTTTTTCGAGCAATAGCATACATATTATACGATACTCAAGTTATGGCGCGAGAGGTGCGTGAGGAAGTAGTACAGCACATAATGGAGGATTGGGATGAATTTTCTATCTTATCTCACGGCAGAGATGGAAATAATTTTAATTTTTTTGCTGCCCACTGTGATGTTAAATCGACCCAAACTCTTACTGATGGTGTTTTGTGTGATTTAATGACTGCTGGACAGATTTTAAATTTCATCATCATCAGCATTGGCACGACAGCCCTTTGTGAGCCTGGGCNATGACTGCTGGACAGATTTTAAACTTACTAAAATTCAATACACAGAGAACTTTAACAATGTCGCTGATATCTGTTGAAAATAATTAAACTTGAAATCGAAGCAGACAATTAGTAATACTAAGTTATTAATTTAATGTGTATACAATTGAAACTCATAATTTCACTTAAGAAACATATAATTTAGAACTTTTAAATTAACTTACATACTTAAAAGTTTATTTAATGTTTGTTGCATATTGAATTTATTTTCAAGGTAACTTTTCAACGACGAGAAATTTGCTTAGTATTTAATTAACATTAATTTTTCAACTGAGCAAAATCTTAGGAATTTTAATTATTTTCCTATTAAGTATGCTGGTACATTGTTCCGCGAAAAGAATTGGGGGCGGTATGTCGTTTCGGTTTAAAATCGTCAGGCAAGAACGATTTAATCAAAATTAAGATTCATAATACCCTCCCATCACTGGGGTACTAATAGATTTTTGCAAATGTTATGTGATCTTGTTCATTGTACAATACAAAGTAACTGCCAGTTTTTTTCCATCAATAGTAACAAGGGAGAGGCTTTTTAAAACTTCACTTTTTTAAACTTTATAAAATTTATAAATATGAATTAGTAATAGTTATTTGAATTCTCTTGTACGATTAGATTATACTCTGATAGGTTTATTGTCAGTGAATACGGAAGAAACTGTATTGCGCCAAACTTAAACATAATGTATAAAGTAAACGTAAGAAAATTTATTAAAAATTATTAAGTCTGATTAAAATACAAAGCACAAATAATGTAATCATTTCGTCAAAAATATTGTTTTAGACTAAATAAAGGCACATTTAAATGGTACATTCAATTGTTTTTATATAACATTTGAAGTAATATATATATATTATTTACTGAGAATTTTTTTTATTNTTTCAGACATGTGATTGGCTGTTGTGAACGGCGGTTATTCTTCATTATTAACTGCAAAATCGTGCTTTAAAACTAAAATAAATAAAAATTTAAAATTATGTAAAAGATTTGAATGCCCTAAATGTCTTCCCTGAAAGATTCTGAATGAATTGATTCCTTAATCTTAGATTTTCATCACGTAGTTAAAAAGTTTTTCAGGGGACAAAATTAACTGCAAAAACTTTTTTTTAGAATAGAGAGATTGAATGAAAAAAAAATTCTATGCATTGAGATATTCTTCGAATTGGAAGATTTAGAAAATTAGAAACATTTTGATACTTATCGTTTTGCTGAACGCAAAGAAATTGAACTATTTTTTTAAAAAGTTCTTATTTTATTTAATTCTTTGAACGTCCATTTTGTTTAGTGTTTAAAAAAATAAAAAAAAATGGTAGAAGTCTACATTTTTGGCAACTTTTCGCTTGCATCAGGCCAACCTAAAAATACCAAATTTTTTAAAAATACAATTTTTCTAGAATTTTTTGTCCAAAAAAATGCATTCTATTAACGCTTTTAAATATTCTTTTTTCAATAAATAAAACATTTTTGGGCTACAACAATAAATAGTCGGTAAGTTTCGCCTTATGTTCTACGATTTTGTAAAGTAATATCCTTTTTTCTATATTTATGACAGTAATTATCGCTTTAAAAGTTATTAAAATTGTTAGTGTTTATTTGTGGCATACTTATCAATAATTTGTTAAACCTGTATAACATAAAAATCAGGAATTGTCAGTATTACTAAAAACGCAACTGTTTAAATAAGTATGTTATTGAATATTCAATAGATTATCGGACCGCAATAAAACGATCTGTTTAATCTTTAACGTTCGTAATGCTCTCTAGTGACAATACAACTTTTTCCTGCTTATATCTTTCGCAAAAACTGTTAGCTACATATATTGGAAACATTTTATTTATGTACCAATTACCTTGTTACAGAAAACTTTATTTTTATAATAATCGCCTCGATTATATTCTTAAAATACCAGTATAAATAACCAGTTCACTAATCGGATTTCACTTAAATCGCTCAAACTTAACTACATAATTGTATGTTATAACCAAAGATATACTCGCGGCAAGCTAGCGTTTTAGCATTAATGAGGCTAAGCAAGAAGCGTTTTGCTTTTTCATTAAAAGCTTTCACTTCTTTCTTTTCGAAATCGTTTTACATACATTACTTATATTTACATACAATCATGAATTATTTATATATTTTTACTACGTTTTTATCGATTCGCTTTTGTCTGTGAGAATGTAATCTTGCAATTAAATTTTCAATATATTTCCGACTAACTAGAGCTCTGGAGCTTTTCTCAGGATAGCAATAGAAGATTTGATTGTTTCTTAATCGCAACAGCTATAATTTATCTCCAATTGGAATTTATCGTGTGATTATTT